TGCTTCATTGATGTCTCTCCAAATGTGTTGCGCGTGCTTCCTGAGTAGGCTTGTACGACAAACGGGGAAGGGAAGAGATCCAGTGATGTTCCTTCGGTAGGGTGAGATACCGAAGAACTTCTGATCTTCCGCGAGAGTATACAGGAGAAACGGCAGCCTACCAATGTCCCCTATCTTCGCCAGAGGCGCTGTTATTCCCCCTGTAGAGATACAAAGCCCTACAAAGCTAGTTGGTTGCATGGAAAGCAAGCGCTTTAGTGCATTCACGATGCACTGTTTCTCAAGTTGCAGTATCAGCGCACTCTACCTGTGCTGCAACTACTCCTGGAGATTTCGGACAAAGCCAAGTACGTTGCGCATGCATACCGAGCATCTTGGCCCCAAGTAATCGTGATTGCCTGCCAGAGCGACTCGGCTGTTGCAGTCACCTGTTCAAATGGCATACGCGCCAGTTTGCAACTGCTGGCCTCAAGTAGCCTCTCCTCTCCTGGACGCAACGGGAACACTCGCTTTACCATGATTTTGTTGAGGACTTGAAGCCCACCCGCATGCACCGCCTTCCATTCTTTTTCATCTCCAGCATCCGATTGCGCCCCAACCAGGTAGTGTGCAGTGGAAGTTTTCCCTTTAATAGTAATTTGTTTGCTTGCTTGCCGATTCCCTCTCCAACGAGTCGGGATAGCCTGTAGCTTCGAACGCCAACTCATTCCTGCTCCAGGAGTATGTTGAACACTGCTAGCAGCTGCCACTATTTTTGGGTCCTTTGAATAACTACTTAGGTGCACACTCGATGCATACATGGTACATTCAGCGCATAACCCTTAAATTGCCGTTAAATATCAAACGAACAGTCTAGTATTCTTAATAGGGAGCCAATCTTCCTAACGGACGGAGAGTACTAATAATTCTTCTTCCGATGCGGGCCCCTTGTGGGTCAGCGATTCCACTGCAGTTCAATTTCACATCTAGCCCCAGACCCTGGGTAGCTGCCGAGTACTCTTAGCCTGATGGCCTGATTTCCTGTCTACCGTGACTTGCTTTATTTCATAGAGTATATTATTTGTACTATCTCTGCCGGATGGACGTCTACAGGTCCAACGACCATTGTAGTGCTTGTGCACTACACGAAGTGAGTTATAGGAGGTGCATTGGGTGCGCAGCGCATGGCCAGTCCCCCAAGCTTTTGTTCTGTTCTGTAATTCCCCAGAAAACGATTTCTTTCACTGTGCCCACTCTTGTCTTCCTCGTGTGATAATACAGTTGAACTCCCCAAAATTGCTATGTTCGGCGCAATCGCGCCGGATTCCATGCACTTCATTGTCGTTTCCGGAAGCGGTTCTTCACCTTGTTTATGTTTCACAAAGAAAGGAGTGAAAAGAATTGTTGAAGTCTTCTCACTCCTTTCTTTGTGAAACATTGAATCCCCCTTCCTTACTCCAGAGCCTGCAGATGCTGTTGGGCCCGCTGAGCGCTGGACTCTTCCAGTGATTCCCAGCACATCTGCTGCAACAGCATTTTCTGGAGGAATCATGCGTGCCCTCTACTGAGCCAGCCCCGGGCAGTCTAGGATTATACCTTGGTGCAATGGTCCAGCATAGAGTTGCCAAACCGTGGTAACGTGGCCCACTACTGCGTTGATGCCGCATTTGAAGCTCAAGTTTTTACATAGGCCACCCAGTTCTATCTGCCGTAAGCGAGATGTAGCCACTGAGACTGCTCTAGCGAATAGGCAGCTAGGTTTATACCCCTCCGCCGTAACTTCAAACATCATATCTGTATCCGAGTCTGTGTCAATTATCTCCAGCAGCTCCTGCCATTGCAATGAGCTTGGAAAAGCACACAGTTGACTCGAGGTCGGTCTGTAGGTGGGGTTGTCACCTCTGTCGGTCCCGTCACTGCTCCGCATGGTGCGTGGTGAACAGGACGCCTAACGAGTAGAAGATACTTTAGTGATAACAGGATGATCTCCTCCACATTTCCTGTGACGGGGAAGGTTAACACCTGCACGTCAGCTCGTCGCAAGCTGATGCTAAATCTGACTTCAAGGGTTGATTTGCTCGCCAATTTAGGCTGCACGTCAGCCGTTTCCTCGCCTTCAGTTCTCTCCTGGCGGAGCAGCTCAATGTCCTTGTCGTCCAGTCCCTTTGGCCCATCGCTTCCACTGTAACATTGAATCATGTGGCCTTCTTTGTTACGAAGAAAGCAAATAAGCTCCATTTCTAGTCCCCCTCGTTCTCTGAGTGCTACCTTTGCTGGCTGCTGCATGTCCTCCCTTCTCATTCGTTTTCCGGGCAGGAGTAGCGTGTATAGTCCAACATCATAGTTTATTGCTAAGGCGATTGGCAGAACCGTTCTATTTCATCTCTATGAACCATCGATATAACAGCTCTTTGCCAAAGGTTAGAATTGTGCTCGTTAGTGGCTGGTACTTCCAGTAACGGATGGCCAATCTCCAATGAACGGCAATACTATGAACCGTTGATATAAAAGTTCATATTGACTTCTGTTCGCCACCGACTGGTGCTTCTCGTAGCTCTGTATCTAACACGTTCCTTATTTTGGATTTCTTGACTCCGCCAGAGCCTGTTTCCTTGCCGACTTACAACCAAACCAACGTTGCACCGCATATGGCAAGGCTTCGAGTACCACTTGCCCGAAACACGCTAGGAAACGTGACAAGGGAAAGTGGTTCTATTGCATAGACACAGCAGTCAAGTTCGTTCCTCCCACTGCCATAAACAGCATGCTAGTAGCAACTGTAATTCTTCCGGTGCATTTGTAGACTAATGTACACCTCCAAAGAAGCAAGGGAAAATACTCAACTGCTCACACATCGGGCTCCCCTATATATTTGGACAGTCCGTATAAGCAGATACGCTCTTCATATTTTGTTTTTGCCATGGAAACATTCCCAGCCATATGACAAGCGGATTCGGTGGTCGTTCCAATGCGGCGAGTTGCCCATCCGTTCGTAGCCTCTCCCCCAGAGCCTAGCCTCCCCGCCAGGGGCTAGGTCCTCTCCAAACTCCACTATTTGAGAGCAGAAAAAGACCGAAATTTTGTCAAGAATTATGGGTTAGACACCTTGGAATACGTTCCAAGCAGTGAATTCGCTATTAGGGAGTGAAATGCACAATTGAGCTTAGCTGCCGTGCTATGGTTGGGTGCACGCAACAATCGGGCAACCCGAAATGCAGCTACACCCAAGCCCGCTTTTGATGCAGTCATTAATACTGCAGGAAGTTGATAAATACGTGCTTTTCCCTCAGTGGCCGCCTATCACGACAAGTAGAAATGCATGTATCAACTTCCGACGGAGAATGAATACTGTCTCTGTAACCAGTAGTGGGGGGAGCGATATCCTTCTGCCAAGAAGGCAGCAGCAACATCAACAACGCAGCAACACTAGGAAGTTCCCACACTAGAATTGTTGTGCGGAGTTCAACAGCAACAAAACCAAGTGTGCCGTAACTTGTATATCTTTACTACTTAGCAAAATGTTGGAACCTTTGGGTATTTCGTTTGCTGTCCTACAACTGACCGCTCGCGCGGGCAGTGCGCCAGCACTCGGGAGTGCGATCCCTTTCTCGTCGCCGCGGCGGCCACTCCTGTTTTAATGTTACTCCATGTTTTCCACAAAGGAACGAGATTTTTTGAAATGGAGGCAAATGGGAACCATTGAAGTTGCATGCCTACAGATATCGTGTGGGTCCATGTGCGACGTAATTGCCAGTTGCTTAAAACGTGTTGAGAACCCTTCTGGCATCCGGAAGCGAGTTTGGAGACACCATTGAATGTGAGTAGTGGTAGAATATGGCAAGGGTAACCACCTTTACCTTTATTTACCCTGATGCCCGGCCCCCAGTTACACCGTATGGGAGCACAAGGAAAACTTTGTTCATTGGCCTTGCATAATTGGGCTGTCTTGCACCACTGTGCAACGGCAAGGTCGTGCAGATGTCTGCCTTTCGGTGTGCATTGCAGCTGTTCAGGCTAGTTGGCCCGCCGGTGTGGGGTTACGAGCACAATAGGCCGACCTGCGTGCGTACCTCATGGACGAACAATGGAAGCAGCATGGGTTGATTCCGGGCTTTTGGATGCTCTCACTCGACGAGCTGGTCGTTCGTTGCAAACCGAAAATGCAGTCCAACGCGACCCACATAGTCGGCGAATTCGCGGGCAAAGTGCCACTTGGCGCACTGCACTGTGGGCGGCTTTCGCTACTGCCCTGATCTTCCTTGTTGTGAAATGTACAGTACGATTACCCAATCGCGCGGAGGCATCTGTAAGAATGTTGGCAGAAGGAGGTGGCGACTGGGATGATGGAGAGAGGCAACCCCTGCTGCAACGTGTAAGGCTATTTACGCACAGTAGATGTAGCAGCGCTTTTTTCGACAGAGTGGATCTGACGTTTCATGCTCTTCACTGTCTTTCTGCATTCTTCGCAGGTTTTCGACGAAGAGGGAGGCCCCTGCATGACAGGGACCGCAGTGGGACGACGTGGTTCGCAAAGGGGCGGAGGATCTTTCTTTAACAGGTTGCGGTCCTCATTCTCTTCACCTACGGGGCGCAGATCAGGTGGAAAAGGCTACAAAACGTTCGAAAACCCTCCTCCGAGGCCTTCCACATCTGCTGCCGATTCAGGTGGTACTGCTGATCAAGCAAGCAATCAGCGTGCTACAAGGCGACGGGTTCAACACGAAACTGATGTGCAGACTGGAGTTTTTCATTCCCCGCATTATATGTACCCCAACCAATACTATCCCTTTCCTAGGCTTGGAAGAGTACGTATGGGGTACAACCTAATGTCTACCTTCGGGTGCAAGCGGCACATCCAAAGTGCGGTCGTAAATAGACAACAAAGGGCACGCATATTCAGGTTCGGGCTTGTTGTTTAGTTGGGTAAAAGGGAAACTGCGGGCCTTCCACACATAGCTGTTGGTGTCCGCCTGCTCTGCAAGTTGCAGGGTTACGAATCGTTGCGAAGGACGTTGTGGAAGATGCAAGAGACTGCAAAGGATATTTGCCACCCCCACGGGGACTCACGCAGCGGTAATCCAACCGCCACATTAATAATCAAATACGATTTTAACAACTCAACGCGACTTCGGAACGTCCAGCCAGTTGACAACAGTTCTAAGCAGTTCGTGTCCCGTACATATGTATGCTTCCTTGGTGAATGGCTACCACTTACAATTCAGCCCCTGCGTTTCTGCGTCTACAATGCTTTGAACGTCCTGCAGAGCAGTTTCACGCCAAATATACGCTACGTGATGGCACCGGCAGCTTAAAAATAGTCATAACGATTATTGAAAGCGTGAGTAACTTGGTTTTCACCGCTTTCCCGGACTACTTTCCTCCAGAAACCTAGCTTGCGGTTAAGACCACGAGCAGGCAATCACGAGAGTGCGTCCGGGTGCGTTCAGACCATCAATGATGTGGGTGTACCAGATCCGCGGCCAAGGGCATTTTACCCGGATGGGTTTGACTGGAGCTCTCTTCACGTCAGACAAGCAACATCCTCCCCATCCTGTAGCTACGCGCGCACTTGGAAAGCACGTGGTCATACACGCACGCCACTTCAGCACTACTTTGTGACACCTCACTTGTGTGCGCTCAGTTTGCACGCGACGTGGCTTGTGTAACTGAAGAGATGATCACGAAGTTGATCGCAGGAGCTAAAGAGAATAGCAGTGAGCGCATTACAGAAAAGGTCGAACAGACGGTACAGCTCTGTGGCCACCCACCGCATAGCACTTTCTTCCACTGTGTACAACCGCTAATTTAAATGCCTTGTGCATCTTATTTTACATACACAGGGAAACTTGAGTATGCAATCATGTGGTGATGTGGTTGCAGTACCTGAAGGGGAAACAACTCGGTTGCTTTTTAGGTTCCAAAAGCCACCAACTGTGCCCTGCATTGGGAGAGTTCTACTCGAGGTCTCTGGTAAGTTTCAGGAGAACAAATTATACTTCCACGTTTCTTCCAGCTATCAGCCACTGTGTAGGCAGATCATTTTCAGTGCTGATGTACGTGTGGTTCTCTTTTTCTTGTCAGCTACGAAAGTTTCTGAGCCTGGCTTAGGGGAAGATCATTGGCTAACGCAGTGAAGCGTTAACTCGAGCTTCATTGTGAGGAAACCGAGAGTGGAATGGATCGCTCAAATACCAAGGCCATGGACAAATCTGCAGCCTACTGTTGCCGTCGTGGCTTTTTGCCGTGTTTTGGAGTAGAGTGTTATATACTGATTATGGAAGGGGGCTTTGCTTGCGAATTATGCAGTAGGGGATTTACATATTCCATTTTCATCATGTAGTCTGGGCGCTTTATGTGCATTATAAGGAGAGAGAAGTCGCATTTCCCTGCAGTGCTGTTAGGATGCCTTCTTTTGACGTGCAGTGGGGTGGTATATACGGTAGGAGCGAAGTTAAGTGGGTGCCTTTAATCCGAAGAGTCTGCATTTTGGTAGGATGTCCCAATACGTGCTATTTCTACAGAGCCCCCCACGGGCATTTACTTGTGCAAGATGGGAGCGCAAAGCCCTTCATGTAGACTATGAACTTCTATTTGTCAATACGCGTATACTGATTGTCCCGGGCATGCGCATTCGATCCACAATGTCTAATGGTGCCCACCAACTCTCGGCAACAACCGATGTAGTGCTACAAAGTGCCTACTGGGGACTACCTACCGTCAGAAACAACCGACATAGTCTCTACCAACTGGGCAGTTGAAATGGGAAGATAGAATCGGCGACATATTTGCGTATAAGGACCACAGTTGTCGCCTTATTACCTCATATGCTGGTCGCTATGGGAATTAATTGCATCTCCTCAACACCGTTAGCGCTTTGCAGTGGCAGATATTTCGTGGTATCAACGCTACGCGGACAGCACAGCGTAAGTGAGCTGGATCAACTATACGGGGTAACGCTGAGCCATTGCCTACATATAGGGAAGAGTCCCTTGTAGCCTACTCATATTGGAGCGTCCAACCTACATCATGCTATGTTCGTTGAGGTTCCCTGTGACTTCCTCATTCCTGCCGGGGACCAAAGTAACCAGCTTCTTCACTTCTTTTTAGTGAACTGTTTACAAGGATGTGTAGATGACTAAATTTTCCTTGCATGCCGGTGGTTGTGTGAAGTTTCAAAGCCTGCTATCTGCGCAAAGGAGTATTGTCCCCACTGGATGCGTTTGTCAATAAAGATCCCATGTTTTCTGTGGGTCCAAGCTTTTTGTTAAAGAAAAAAATAATGAAATGGCGAACTTGATTTGTAGGTCCTTCAGCTTATCATGTGCGCCGTTACGGTTGCACGCACCTGTCGATAACCGTGGGATAGTCGTCCACGTAGCTTCGAGTCCCACATGAGGTTGCTACTTTTAGAAGTTTCCTCCCGGCAGATTGTCTGTGCATTTTTAAGCAGTTCCCCTGGTTGAACGCCCAAAATCCATAAACTAGCCCACGCAGTATTTCGGAGACTCCCTTGACAAAGTGAAGGCCTATGTCTAGATTGAATTCGTGAAATGTCTTCCAAAAGAACGCTACGCTCCCTGAACCTCACGCATTTCAAAAGACAAGGCTCTACAAAAGCAGCCTGGAAGTAGGGCAATGCTGTGTAAGAAGACAGATGCCTCAGCTAACACCGAAGAGAGGGCACACCCAGCGAACGAGAATGAGACTCCTCGCGAACCACGTGGAGGAATCGAGCACATCAATCTCATTTTCAGGTCCTCCACTGTGTAGAGTAAGACTGCGTGGACCGCAGTGTGACGGAACCCCTCGCCAAGTTCTGCTTCACGTTTTGGAATTTGATACAATGGTTCCACTTTAATTGCCACTAGCCTCTCGCCCTGCTTCCATGTGGCTGAAAAGGCTAGGAGGCACCGTCCGTAAGATGCAGCATTCCCCACTTCACTTCGTGCAGAGAGGAAACTCCACAAGTAAGCAAAACCAAGCCTCCTTTCGATGCATCCTTAACACCGCGAAAGTCTCATACATACACATGTA